AGTGGAGGCTAAACATGAAGAAGGGTTGCAGGAACTGGGTATGTCTAGTTTAATGAAAAGAAGGACGAGTGATAGTAGCCAATATCTCAGGGGTTGCCACAAAGAAGAGAGAGTCAGACTATTTTCCAAGGCACCTGAGGGCAGAACAAGAAACAATGGGTGGAAACTAATCAAGGAGAAGCAACTTAGAACTGAGGAGAAATTTCCTGACAGTTAGAACAATTCATCAGTGGAACAACTTGCTTCCAGAAGCTGTGAATGCCCCAACACTGGAAGTCTTTAAGAAGATGTTGGATAGCCATTTATCTGAAATGGTGTAGGGTCTCCTGCCTAGGCAGGGAGTTGGATTAGAAGACCTCCAAGGTCCCTTCCAACTCTGCTATTGTATTGTATTATAATGCTTTGATAAACAAACCAAGAAAGTCCAGTTGCCTTTTAGAAAACACACCTCCACAAAGACCCTTATGATTAGAATTGCTCCTTCTCCTACAACCAGGGGGAGGGGTGTATTTATATGCTGCTTGTCTGGCCAGGGGCCACCCAAGGTGGCTACAATCATTACTCTGTCCAGATAAGAGTATCCACCATCCAACTGATGGGAGGGGGATCTTGGCTGGTTGCTTACATCCCTTTCAAGAGACGGGGAGCACTGACCGAAAATAAGAGCTGCAGCTACAGAGAATGTTCTTATGAGCATTGAATTCACACCCGTTGACTTTGATGATGACGTCACACAGCTTCCCTTCCAGCCGAAGTTCGTTGAAGACCGTACAAGCCATCGCACTCATCTTCCGCTCCATGTGGCGATAGGAGTACCCTGCCGAAGCAGAGGTATCATCCATTCTTTCAAAGTGGGGGGAGGCAGCGGGAAATGCTGCCAGGCCTTCCACTTAACCCTCCTCTTGGGAAAAAAAAGGGTGTGATTGGTCCAGGGGTTCCAGAACCCCCTCCCATAATGAGACCCTTGACATGATCAAGTTCTAGAACTCCACTGCCCTCCAAAGCAGCATTGCCTTCGCAAGAAGGGAGAAGGTCGCGTTGGGCATCTTCAGGGCTCCTCAATGTCTGCAGAGATGCTCAATCATCCAGGTGACGGTTGGAGAGGACTGGAGGCTGAAACATCTGAAGAACGGTTGCTGGAATTGGGTATGTCTAGTTTAATGGAAAGAAGGACTAAGGGAGACATGATAGTGACACGATAGTATAGTTTGGATAGTGTTCCAACATCTCAGGGGTTGGCATAAAGAAGAGGGAGCCAACCTATTCTCCAAAGAACCTGTAGGCAAGATAAGAAGCAATGGATAGAAACTAATCAAGGAGAGAAGCAACCTAGAGCTAAGGAGAAACCTCCTGACAGTTAGAACAATTAACCTGTGGAACAACTTGCCTCCAGAAGTTGTGNGGACAACCATTTGTCTGAAATGGTATAGGGTTTTCTGCTTGAGCAGGGGGTTGGACTAGAAGACCTCCAAGGTCCCTTCCAACTCTGTTATTCTGTAGAGGGATGGAAGCAAACACATTTCTGGCTTGATCTCACAATATCCTAAAATCATTTCAATGGAATCCATTTTATCCCTGGAAAAAGCAAAATACTTAAGCAAAATTCAAACTCCATCTGCCTTTTGTATAGCACTTTCCCCAAATTTGATGCTCTCCAAATGTTTTCTAATTGCAATGTATAATGGTATCTGGAGGGTGCCAGATGTGGAGAAAACTGCTCTAAATTCTCATTCTTGCTTTTTTGTGATCCTAGCTCATGCATTTTTTTTCTTTTTTTTTTGTACAGCAGTATTGAACACCCCCTAATCCAGTGTTTCTCAACCTTGGCAACTTGAAGTCCTGTGGACTTCAACTCCCAGAATCCCCCAGCCAGCATAGCTGGGGGAGTTGAAGTCCACAGGACTTCAAGTTGCCAAGGTTGAGAAACACTGCCCTAATCCACACGCTGTACAAATGTTGGACTGTTAAAAACGACCTTCTTTATTTTAGAATGTCATTTAACCCGAGAAGGCAAATAATACCCTTAAAAAGGTTTGCTATCTGTGTTTTTTTATTTAAAAAGATGAGTTATTTTAAAGGAAATTAAAGACTCTTCATCAGAAAGGTAGCTATGGAGTTTCCCAATCATCCAGGTCATGGTTATCCCAAAAGGGCTTTTTTCCAACTGGACTTAGTTTTGTTTTTCCTTTGAATGTGTTTAAACCCTTCTCTTCCAAGAAGCTTAGAATTCTAGAAGCCTTTTGGATAACGAAACATTATCAAAGGGGGGAAAACAGGTACATTATGGGTGGTACCTTGCTCAATAGTAGTAACTGTGAAAGGGATCTTGGAGTCCTGGTGGACAACCATTTAAATAGGAGCCAGCCGTGTGCAGCAGCTGCCATAAAAGCCAACACAGTTCTAGGCTGCATAAACAGAGGGATAGAATCAAGGTCACGTGAAGTGTTAATACTTTATAATGCCTTGGTAAGGCCACACTTGGAATCCTGCATTCAGTTTTGGTCACCACAATATAAAAAAGATGCTGGAGACTCTGGAAAAAGTGCAGAGAAGAGCAGCAAAAATGATTAGGAGACTAGAGACTAAAACATATGAAGAACGGTTGC